CTGTATGTATATGTTTATTTATATGCATATATATATATATATATAAATGTTTCTGTACATACTTCTGTATACAAATATATATATATATTTGTATTTGTATTTGTATTTATATTGTATGTGTGTATTTGCCTATACATATGTATATACATATATATATATATATGTTTTATGTATATATATATATATGTATATTTATATATTTATATAATGGAAATTTGCAAAGACATTGTAAGCAAGCCTGCATTTGATTGGTCCATAGTTACGACCAGGCTGCTGCCCCTGCGTCTTGGATGCAGTTGTTGACTATTGTAGGTGCAGGTGGTAACCTGAGATGCAGTAGTTGACTATTGTAGGTGCAGGTGGTAACCTGAGATGCAGTAGTTGACTATTGTAGGTGTAGGTGGTAACCTGAGATGCAGTAGTTGACTATTGTAGGTGCAGGTGGTAACCAGAGATGCAGTGGTTGACTATTGTAGGTGCAGGTGGTAACCTGAGATGCAGTAGTTGACTATTGCGTGTGCAGGTGGTAACAAGTCGTATTTGTTTGTATATGTGCTTACTCGCGACTGAGTATTTCTTCAGCTCTTTATTTCCGCCAGCTCCGAGTTCGGTTGAACCGAGAATTTTTCGAGAACGGCATCATGGATGGTGAAGTATAGGTGAAGTATAAAACAAGTTTTTTTTACATACTTCTAGTCATAAATAAGCGTATTGTAAGGCTGGACGTATGTCAGGCCATGCCAGCAGATGACTCCTTTGAGGTCCCCTTCGAAGCCAGTGAGCAAGCGCCCTATCTGTTGATGCAGTATCTTAAAGCGATTCGACTAGTCAAGTGGCAGCAAATCATTGCAACACACAACTAGTTGGCAGTATGTAGGCCCAGGCAACGATGCACGATTCCGCTGATACCGCATACTTACATACTTTGAAAGTAGCTCGCCATTCTCGTTTCATAAGTATACATCGTATAGCTATTCGCGTTGTGCCCATTGGCATCGTACTGATGTACTATGGACAATAAAGCTCAGATAAATAACTATGCTACCTCATACCTTGCACTTGCATGATCCCCCGACGGCTATGTCGTGCTAGTCAATTGACAGCTCACCTATTATCCTCCTGACGTCGACAAGATAAATAGTCATCGCATAAGTATTCCTTATCCACAGCATACTTGCTACCTCAAAAAAGTAATACGTTGAATATAAATGCGCCGAGCTGCTACCTTGAAGGTGTCTCGACACCCCCATCGGGCTCAAACCCCCTATCCTTGAGAAGCTTAACTATTCCTTCGTGATCGTACTTACTCAGCTGTATGCGTTCGACAGCGCGATTCTTGTTGTAGGTCTCCCTCGATGTGTAGAACTTTATCACCGGCACCTCGTGCTTGAGGAAGAACACGGTCACCCGAGAGTACTGATTCTGTGTTTCATACACAAATTTCTGGAAATGTACCAAGATTAGATGGAGATGAGCTTGATGACAAGCGCTTAATATGGATAAGCTGATTGGACCGTGGATACCAGTGATCAGGGATTCACTACCGAAAGAATTAAGCAACCTTGATCCCACGATACCATTTCTAAATGAGAGTTGGAAAAAAGGTTAAGATATCCATACCCTTAGCGAGCGCGACCCCTTCCTACTAAGCTTTTACGAGAATTTAAAACAGTGAGGGGCAAATAGAGTACAATAGGGTGCAGGAAGTATTGTGTATACTCCAATACCAGACCCCACATGAATGCGAGTGTGATTGAACCAGCAAGCTAAAATGGTATCGGATTTGCTCCAGGTTTACGAGCATTGCTAGAGATGATACTCCTTTCAATCTCCATAGTGGCACGCAATGCAGAACAGGTGTATACATAGCAGACATTCCAAGCTTGCAGTGAGCTTGCAGTGTACAGTGTGTGGTATACAGATACACTAATAGTATTCTTTTCAACAAATAAAAATAAAAATGTACAGTTATTATTGACTTATTGACTAAAACTCGGCAAGAACTTCTCAATATAATAGCGCGAGTTTTATAGATACCAACGCAAGATAATGAAGACATTCTATTTGTTGAAAGTTCTGGTCTCGAATACAAAACACTAATTGATTTGCGACATCGTCTTGTATGCATTTCGCTGCATATCATCAACATAATTCGATGTACACACTCTTTAACAAACAGCGACAGCGTGTAGTACT